AGAAACCCAGCAATCAAGGATAATTTTTTTAAAAAGCTAGTTTGTTGGCATTTCTAGTGCAAAGCTCTTGGGGGGGGGAGAGATAATGATCAAAATATCTTTTCAAACTGTGTCTATTGCACTTCTGGTTTCTTAAAAGATTGACAAGCATCCACCTTCTGTTGACAAAGACGTCACACTTCACCACGCTTTCAGACTTCATGGGATTCTTTTTCAAAAAACCAGAGAACGCCATGGAATTAACTTTCTTTGCCTAGGAGAATGTTCAGTCGCGAGCCCTAAAGGATTCATCACCGTAACTATCACCACAGAAATGTAACATTCCATTTTCTGATGTCCCGTCCTACAGACCAAAGGCCAATCAAAACAGGACTATGATGAAGATAACATGATCCAGAGTATATTTGACCTGTTCTTGGGCGGGACGGAGACATCCAGTACCACGCTCAACTGGGCGTTGCTCTATATGGTGGCTTATCCTGATGTCCAAGGTGAGTACAGAATGAGATCCCTCCGCATTCTTCCGCCATTTTGAAACAACTGGTCTGTTTAGCTCAATATCATCAGTTCTGACTACTGTTTGTTCTCTAGGGCAGGGGTCCCTAACAATGTGGCCATAGGTGTCGTGGTATCCTCTGATGCCTTTCCATGTTCCTGCCAAGTGTTTTGAGAAAGTGGGTGGGGCAGGTGAGGATTTGTCCAGCCAGCATCTGATTGGCCATTGGATAGTTGATTGGCTGTGCAGATACGGTATTTTTTTTTAAGTTTAAACAAAAAATGATTTATTTAATAAAGAACAAAATAGGTTTCTGGTTAATTTGAACTGTTGCTGAAGAAAGGAATTTGTAAATATAACTGGTAAAGCTTGGTGTCACAAACAGTCTCTCAAACTCCAAAACTTTACTCTGACAGGCTTAGACACTCAGTCTAATCTCTCTCACACACATATATAGCCACACAGGCTAAACTCTTTGTATTATTCACACAGAATAGACTCCAACTCTCATAGTCACACAGACTAAACTGTTTGTCTTATTCACACAGAATAGACTCAAACTCCCATAGTCACACAGACTATGCTCTCTCTCCAAACTTCACACACAAAATTGGCTGATGACTGAGATTGGCTGATGACTGAGAGTGTGGGAGGAGAGAGGTCTCTGAGAGGATTCCGTGTGTGAAGGCTGTGCAGATTTTTAAAAGGGTTGATTTGGCTGCAGCTGCCACCACACCTCAAGGATCTTTACGAGGTGACTGAAGGTAAGTCGTGACAGCCATTGTGTGGCTGGCCCGGCCTCCTGCAGCAGTCATTTTGTGGCGGCCATTTTGTGGTTGCGCCCACCACACGGTGTCAGAATTCCAAAGGTACCTGCAGGCTCAGAAAAGTTGGGGATCCCTGCTTGAGGGTCTCAGGAAGAGCAATCTTTCCCAGTACCTGAGACCCTTACCTGGACATGCTAAGGACTGAGCCTGCATGTCAAAGGGTCTTTCTCCAGAGCTTCTGTCCTGGGTTGCTGGGCTTTATCCATCCAGCTCTAGGTGTAGCTCACCCCATCATGCAGTGTCTGACTAACCTTTCCCTCAGACCAAAGAAAAAAAGGCCTTGTGTATAAGAATACGGAGGTGGTTCCATCTAATCCTCGGCTCTTTGGCAAGTGCAACATATGTGCTTGTCCGTATTCATGAGAGAGAGAGAGTTTGTTGAGGTGTGTGAAAGTTTTTTGTCACGCTGTAGGCGGGTGTCTGTTTTTGTTCCCTGTACTGAAGAAGGTGCCAACATGGTATAGTGCAGTGATGGCGAACCGTTTAGAGACCCGAGTGCCCAAACTGCGACCCAAAGCCCACTTATTGATCGCAAAGTGCCAACACGGCAATCCAACCTGAATACTGAGGTTTTACTTCAGAAAAAAACAACTCACACATTGACTTAAGATGATCCAAACAAAGTAAGGAAAGCAATCCCAAATGCTTTCATTTGCTTAAAATTATTTGGCAGAGAATTCGACGCTTTAATGATGGTCTGGGCCTGGTTGGGGCGATGGCACGCGTGCCCACAGAGAGGGCGCTGAGTGCCACCTCCGGCCCCCGTGCCATTGCTTCGCCACCACTGCTCTAGTATCTCTAGGAGAACCAGAGAAGTCTTCTTAGAATGGTTGACTTATGCACAGTAAAAGCGAGAGCTTTGGTTCCAGGGGAAATTACGTCTGCCTGAAGAAGAATTTGTCGAAACACCCCATTTTTGCCTAGGAGGCGTGTTGCTTGTTCTGATGCTTGCTGAAACACTTTGTGTGGGAAACACAACTGCCTGCTGCAATTCTCATGCCGGCTGAATTACTCTTTGTGGAGAATACAACAGCCTGCTGCATCTTTAATCATTTATGACTGTTGCAACTTTCACCAGTCCTTTATCAGGAGGAAGATAGCCTACAGTGCTGGAAGAGGTTTTTTTAAGCTGTGGACTTTCCTATTGGTAGATACAATGTACTTTAGGTTTTTGTCTATGTATAACAGTGATGGCGAACCGTTTAGAGACCGAGTGCCCAAACTGCGACCCAACACCCACTTATTGATCGCAAAGTGCCAACGCGGCAATTGAACCTGAATACTGAGGTTTTACTTTAGAAAAAACAACTCACACATTGACTTAAGAAGTTAAGATGATCCAAACAAAGTAAGGAAAGCCATCCCAAATGCTTTCATTTACTTAAAATTATTTGGCAGAGAATTCGACACTTTAATGATGGTCGGGGCCTGGCTGGGGCGATGGCCCGCGTGCCCACAGAGAGGGCTCTGAGTGCCACCTCTGGCACCCGTGCCATAGGTTCGCCACCACTGGTATAGTGGTTAAGAGCGGCGGACTCTAATCTGGAT